CACTTCTGACCTGCCTGATCCTTCTGGAGACACTGCTACTTCTCGCCTGTTTTCTTGAACTACCCCAAAGTAAACAAACTTTTTCTGTGTTTTGGATGAGAAAGCTGATTCCCCCTCTCTGCTCATCTTTTTCTGTGTCATTTGCTGCTCTTCTGCCTGGAAATGGCCATGCTTTAGTATTGCTGGACAGGTAGTTTGCAGAGCATTTTAGAATGAGCATCTCTTACCCTCTGTATTACAATAAAATCACGAGGCAATGAAATACGCTAAATTCTCACCTGAATAAATGTAGTTCAGTTAAAAATATATACTCACCTACCAGCTCCCTGTATGAAAATGGAGAACTATAAAAAGTAGATGGGCTTGTATGGAGGGTTCTGCTAATGTTAACACATTTTTCAGTGTTCGGAGAAATTTGATTCATTTAAAAAAGCCTGGTGTGAATTCACCTGGCAGCATTTCCAATTTTTTTTTTCAGACCATTTCTGAAGGACATAAAGTCCTTTGTGTGAAATGACGTTTGTTTTACATTCAGCAACCGCAGGTTGGGGCCAAAAAACCGCTTGTCAGGGGAGCGGTGCGTGGCCGGAGGTGGTGCGGCTTTGCTGGGCAGCGTGGGAGGCACCCACCCCTCCTGGGTCACTGCGATTTCTCAAAACGCAAGGGAGGGCACACCTGGGAGAGCCAGCTCCTCCTGGGCCAAGCGCTGTGCTGGCCGTGCTCCTGGGGGCAAGATGGCACGTGGAGTCCGGCCAGCCAGGTGCCCTGGCCGTGGGCTCTGCCCCCAGCGGCCTCCCGGATTTGCAACAGCTCAAATGATTGAATCACATGGCCTGACCGCTCCTTTTTGTGGGGAAAAAAAAAAAATAAATTGGTTTGGTTTAAAGCACGCAGAGTATGCGCACACAAACCGCTCCCCCGAGCAGCAGCATCTTCTGCGGGGACGTCTGCGCCCAGGAGAGGAGCTGCTGTCTGGTGGCTGCTGCCCCACATGGGTAATGATAATGGATAAATGCTCCTTTCCCCCTTCCCACTGCCTCCCAATTTACAGTGTTATACTCTGAGGTAGGTGCTGCGCTTTGCTTTACTCATGGCAACAATCAGTGGTGTCCTCAGATGCCGATCACCTGAGCCCGGCTGGAGCCCGGCCGGGGCTGCTGGTGGCAGTGTCTGTGTGACCGATCCTGCGCTTTGCCCATGGGTGAGAAAAATAGAAGAAAGGAAATGTGTTGCTGGTCAGCCTCAAAAAGATAAAATATTCAAAATTTTTGGTGAACCCAGCAATTTCCGGTAGCTTTGGTTCATATCAGAGGAACTATTACTTCTATTTTTTAAGCTTTCCTAATAAAAAACCTACCCTCACCCCTGGCTTTTAAAAGGCAACATCAATTCAAACTGAAAAATGGAAACATCTTGTTTTCAAAACACTGAAGCAAAATAATTTTTGTTTACCTCTGCTTTTCACTCTTTCCTGCACAACAAAAACAATTTGGCAAAGTTTGTATACAGTTGTGAGATGTTTGGGCACGCCACAAACTGTGGGTGGTTTCTTTCTGCGAAATCCAGTGCTGGGAAGGGACAAGTGTTCAGGGGAGCAGGGCAGTGGGGGTTTTTCCCAGCTCTCTGGTAGGTGATGAGCAGTACAGCGGCTAATGGAGAGCTGATGCTACTGTGCTCGGAGGCCGAGTCTATGTAAAAATTGTATTGCTGCAAAGACAGTGGTTTGATCCACTTGAATGGCTGCAGCTATTTTAATAAGGGCATGACTGTATGAGAAGGAAAATTAGCTGACTGATTTTTAAGGTGGTATTACCTTGACATCGCTGTTCCCTTTGGAGGTTATACTAGTGCAGCTGTATTGCTGTAAGGTCACAGCTTTCATAGTCAAAAAAGTGCAGGAATCTGCTTGGACCAGGCTTACACCAGCCAGTTCTGGCTCAGCAGCTGCTTCCATTGAAGTCGTCCGTGGCTGGTGATGAGGGTGGAACGAGGATGCGAAGCCAGCCATATCCCCAGCCTTGCCTTGGGCTTTCGTTCCCTTTTTGTCCCTCAGGTTTGAAATCCCTGCATTTGTGTCTTCTCGAGATGTGCAGGCTCGGGTGTTTCCTGAGCCCTCTCTCCTTTCCATGCCCACCTCGCACTCACGCCGGAGCTGGGTGCGCTTGCACGCTGGGTACGTTTGGTGAGGTAACGCGATGTCTCCTCAATTAGAAAAGCTAAACCAAAATAAGCTCTCCCTTGTCCTAGCTGGGGACGGTTCATAAGTCTGCTGCAAGGTGCCAAGTTTCAGAGTATTACAGCAGGGCTGTTCACACTTCAGCTTCAGATTTAGCTGTTCTAGAATAGAAATAAGACCTGACATAATCTAATTAAGAAAATAACGACTATTAAAAGGCCATGTGAATTTGGCACCTGGGATACTTATGCATGCTTTAAATCCCACAGGCATGCCTCTCATAGGCTCACGAAGCCTTTGAATTCAGCAACGCTGTTTTCGTATCGCGCTTTTCCGCTCAGGGGCTTTGCAGCCCTGGTTGTTCCCTGCTGTCCCAAATGCCCAGCTGGGACATCGTGGGGTGAAGTGTTTGTGCTGGGAAGAGTCAAGACCGGTCCCAGAAACATGGTGGATTTGCCCCATCACTGAATCTCACTACCATGTATTTCTCATTCATTTGAGCTGCCTACAGGAACATCAGTTCCTTTTGCAGGGGATAAATATGCTATTAAAATGGAAGCAGAGAAAGAAATAGCACAGGGTAATATGCCGTCTGAAACACAACCTCTCTTCGGGGCAGCAGGAGTTGTCAAAATTGTGTTTGCAGTGCTAACGCTTCAGTAGGGGGTTAACTGTGCCAGTGATCAGACAGATAATTCCCTTTAAAATTATTGTTTTACCTCACTCCATCCAATTACACAAGTTGTTTTGCTATCCCACGGATCTCTCTGTTCATGTCAACAAAATGATTATAGACTGCAACAGCGTCAAGATGTTTCACCCACGGGAACGCTGGTGAAATGTTTATGGCGCAACATGTTGAAGGCAGCATTTGATGTGTAAATGTCAGGAACAATCAGCTTTCCTGTCACCAGAACCAAAATGCACAAATACAGGCACTGACAATGTCACATGCACAACCAAAGGGCTACTTTATCGCAGGCCACCTAAATTGTCATGTAAATGGCCGACATACGTGTTGGTAACGGTGTGGAAGAGCCACCACAGCTCTTTGCTAGTGAGGACGTGTGCTATTTCTGATTTGTGCATCGCCATCGGCAGCGTGGTCCTTCCTTCGGCATCGGTGACCGAGCTGATGGTGGGGAGATGGATGAAGGACATCCATGAGGATGGCAACACCAGCTACGGATCAAACCTCTCTGCTTGAAGGGAAACTGGAGCACAAGTCTTATGAGGAGCAGCTGAGGGAGCTGGGGTTGTTTAGTCTGGAGAAGAGGAGGCTGAGGGGAGGCCTTATTGCTCTCTACAACTGCCTGAAAGGAGGTTGTAGTGAGGTGGGGGTCAGTCTCTTCTCCCTAGTAACGAGTGATAGGAGGAAACGAAACGAACCTAAGCCACGCCAGGGTTGAAACGGCCTTAAGCTGCGCCAGGGCAGGTTTAGGTTAGACATTAGGAAAAACTTCTTCACCAAAAGGGTGGTCAAGCATTGGACCAGGCTGCCCAGGGAAGTGGTTGAGTCTCCATCCCTGGAGGTATTTAAAGAACGGATAGACGTGGTGCTCAAGGACATGGTGTAGATGGACTTGGCAGTGATAGGTTAACGGTTGGACTCGATGATCTTAAGGGTCTTTTCCAACCTTGACGATTCTATGATTCTATGAAAACCACTTTATTAAGGATGAAGATGCACCCTGGGAGCCACCTGGGCTGTCTAGAAATGGGTCAAGATGCCTCCTCGGCTGCATGGCTCTGGGGGCCTCACCCAGGTACCTCTGCTCTTGGCAAAACCTGCAGAATAAGGTTTTGTCACAACAACGAGCATCTGCAGCCTGGAGCGCCTCGCGTCGTGGGTGCTGGGCGAGGAATCCCCGTGTCCCTGCACGGTGGTACCCGTGGCCGTGCCATGGAGGGGTGGGGTGCCGTGGGGCTGGGGTCTCCCTTCTCTGTCCCCCTGTCCACGCTGGCTCCTGGGGTGAGTCGTGCTTTCTGCTGGCGGACGGGTGGTCCAGTAAAGGTTGCTGTCAGTCCCCAAAGGCTTTGCGACTCCAGTCCTGCTCCCCAGATAGATCAAAACTACATTTTTGCAAATAAACCTTTATGAATTCCCTGTTGCATCAGCACTCTTCTTGGTAATAAAAGCTACAAAGAAAACTCTGATGAAACAAGCCAGATCTGAAGGCAGAAGATATTGAAATCTGGAAGATTTAATTTAATATTTTTATTACATATTTTTGGAGCCCTGATTATACCCCCACCCTCCAGGAATTTATTTACCTAAGGAAAATTATACTACTGATTACAAGATTGCAGGTTCATTTTCACTGCTGAGAACTCATTTTTTTTTTTACAGCTCATGTTACACTTGCATGACTCGTAAAGTTTTGTAACATCTTGAAATTTTTAATGCTACATTGCGGAAAGGTACTTATATATAGATGAACTAGGCAGGATACTTGCTTTGCAGTCTTTTTGAGGGGAAAAAAGTTAGTTTCTTGGTTTGAATAGGCCTGTAAATGATTTCTTTGAATTGTTGGATAGTGAGTTCACAGGGTGCTCACCGGAGCTGCCTTGCATTTGTCCTTCAGGCTGGGTGCAAAGTGAGAAACTGCGAGAGATGCCTTTAAAACATAACATAAGAAGGAATGCTTTCTACAGGGGAATAAAAATAAAGTATGCAGAAATCGTGACTATAGCGTGCATGAAATTATACTGGCAAGATCCCCGTGGTAAATATTTGTCAGATAGGACAACATCTTAGTCAGAATCTCAGTTTTTCCAATAAATCATTGCACCTGGGCCTTTTAAATCATAATTCACGTCAGCCAGCACTGCATACTGAGTTAAGGTCAGGAGAGATTTCCAGATGTATTATGGCGATTATCTAACAATTCAGTTAATAGAGCCATAGAATTGGATGAGATTTTTGTCAATTCTGATGTCACGGCAACAGAGACCTTTGACTGAAACAACATTATGAATATTGGATAAGATCCTGCAGTGCTGCTCCTCCATGTTATGATATTATCCAAGGAAGAAGGTTATAAATACATGACTTACACTGTTCACTTTCCAGTTGGTAAAAACAAAGAAAAAAAACCCCCATAATCAAGTTCCAATACACAACTAGATATAATATAGCTTTTTCTTTATATATATATATATATCTGTATATATATCAAGTAAAAAAATCTAAAACAGTTGGAAGTAAAAAATGAAAAAATAGCTGATTGTGTTATTTTTTTCTTTACAGTGATATGGTAGCAAATACAAGACAAATGAGTAATAAACCTTTATATAAGGTGTTCTGGTCCCATCTCCATCAATAGGGCACAGACTAGAATAGAAAATGGAACAAGGTGTTTTTTGTTTTTTGGCTGCAGCTTCTGCAAGTGGCAAAGATGATGTTGATAAGACAGAAGGAAATTATAGCACTAAATAAAATAAAACTCCAAAGTGTTTTCCAAAAGACCTTAAACACCATAGGGTAAAAATTACTTCCGAACTGGGGGAGCAAACACAAAGCATCACCAAGTTCTACTTAGGCTGAAAATACTGCATGCTTATCCAGGCCTCAAAACACATCCCTTTTGTGCCATCTTACCATAAAAATACCCTATCGATGCTTTTTTTTTCCCCTGCAGCCAATAATAAAAAAGCAAAGCCACAAATCCATCGAAGGACCGAGCCAGATGTGAGACCTCAGTGATGCGCAAGTGGTTGGCTGCCCTTTGTCCGGCAGTGAATTTCCCCCTGAATCCTTTACGTTGAAAATGTCAATTGACTAAGCTTGGCAAATGGTCACACTGAGCCCTATTTTGGCTGTAGAAAAGAAAGAAGGACTAGTCTCAGCATAAAACAAGATCATATAGACGGTCAACACAAAACAGTATTTTTTTCAGTTGTCTGCATAATTATAACATCATGTTTGCATATAGAACAGCTTTTGCATTATTGCTCTACTCATAAGAATATAGTAAGGAACTTAAAACAGACTTGCACGTTACAAACTTAAGGTTCTTTGGTGAAGAATGAGAAAACAGTATTTTCGCTGTAATTAAATCTCAGAGAAGTTTTCGCTTTTATCTGTTGATCCTTTGGATTCTCTCACAGAGGAGGGAAAGGTATTGAGTCAGCTTTACCATCGCCACAATGGCGACCCCGCCGATCATCATGCAAGTGGGCCAGACGAGGGAGTGGAACAGCACGTTGGAGTTGTACAGTTTGGTTAATATCACGTTCTTCTGAACGCCTTCGGGGTCGTAGAAACAGGAGAAGCGTTGGTACTTTCTGAAGTTTTCCATCACGACGTTCACCAGCGACATGGATTCCTCATAATTCTTGCCGCACTTGGGTATGTATGAACACTGGGAAGAAATTAGAGGGAGAAAAATGCATCTCCAAACCAGATACAATGTCTGTTTTCAGGTGGCAAGCAGGAAAATCTCAAGATGATTATGCTTTTCGTAACAGGAGTGGAATACTATTAAGCTAATAATAAATTTATCACAGACAAACTCAATATTTTGCACATCTACGGAATTTCCCATTGGAGAACCTCCAACTGCTGTACAAACATTAATGCTTTAATCTGCACAGCGGCCTTGTGAGATAGGTGAATATATTATTATTGCTAATTTACACATGCAAAAAAGGAACTGATGAAGTACCTCTTCATCTTAAGTGGCACGCATATGCTTGCAGTTAGATGGGTAATTGACTCTCTGTAAATACAAATCTGGTAGCTCAGATCTCACTTGGATTGGATCAAAGTGATCATAGCGGGCACAGGAGTTCACTCACAGAGGAGAAGGCTGATGGGAGACCTTTATACAAATTTTCCTGTGAGGGTAATGCCTCGATTAGGGACAAATAGATAGTCTAGGAGAAAACGCAGTTTTCTCACTGCCAACCTGGGAGACTTCCATTCAACCTCTAGCTGAAGATCAGCCCGGCTACCAGGATGGCTCTTAGTCTTGTTTTTGCTCTTGACCCTGGCGTAAGTCCAACCGTTACTTCTCTCTGAAGATGCTGCTTGAATTTCAGTCTCAGTCACAAAGAAAGGAAGATTTGGGGGCGGCTCTATCTAACACAGTTTCAACCTAGCATTCCCAAAGAATACTAAACCCAAGTTAATTAAAAAACTAGCTTATGGAGTCTATGCATTGAAGATATTCCACGGGACCTGTAGGACGGTGGCCCTGGGCTGTGCTGACCATTCCCCGCAAAGAGCTAGAGTGGGCTGGTGAGGTGGTGGGCAGACACACGAGGATTGAGGCCACATCTGGGTTTTGACGTTGAGCAGAAACACCTGAATTTACTGTTGCTGCTGCTGGTCTGGAGGAGGATTGATGGGAGCAGCCCACGGCCCCTCCCTCCCTCCTCTCTTCTAGATGCTTATGCCCCTCCACACCTGAAGGTTTTCTACACCTGCCCAGGATTTTGATTAAATTCCCTACCTAGGTGAGTACTGCTTCAGGGCAGGGGGAAATCTGCTGCTTAACTTCTCCTTGAACGTGCGCGGGAGGACCCAGCAGGTCATCGTTCCCTGGCGGTTACGGGGTGATCGTGGGTCCCCACCACGCTCCCTGCCTGCGCTACTGAACCTGCTCGTCCTGGGTGAGCACCTAAAGCAGTTCCAGGTAATTTAATGAGAGAAAGTGAGTTTTGCAAAGGAAAAAAGATGTTTTGATTAAAATAATGTGACCCATGGCTTTTGATTATTATTGTTTTAATGTATATACTTTATAAATGTCCCTCAAGTCTTTTTTATGACTATGCTGTGACTTTTTGTAATGTACAGTGACAAATCTCTAGTCCTAATAATGATCAAAGAATTAACCTCATAACAGGATTTGATTGATTCATTGGCGAGTTTATTAGCACAGAATATGATTTGCAGCATGGCAGAAAGATTGCCTGGTGGCAGCAGACTGGAGCATTAAGGGTAGAGCATGGCAGCACTGCCGTTATGAATATTTCATAGAGCTCTAGAAATCAGAGACGGAAAATATCAGAGCGGTAATATCTCATCCATCTCCCTGCTGGTGCAGGTCCGCTCCCTCCAGGATATTCTCTTGCACTCTGTCCAGCTTTGTCTTAAATGTCCAAAGCCACAAGCTCTCTTCCAGTGCCTGTGACTCTTTAATAGATCATAATCTAGTAAGTAGGGGAAATTTCTCAGTGAAGCGTACCTCATTTTCTTTTACTAAATTCTGTGCTATCACTGTCGTAACAGCAGTATTTCCAGCTCAGATTTTTTTTTTTTTTTTTTTTTTTTTTTTTTTTTTTTTTCTTCTTGCAAGTTTGGTGCTATACACTTTTGTTTCTTGAAGTCCCAGCTGTTACTATCCTGAGCGAGGAGATGAAATGAGGACTTGGCCACTCTTGCCAAAGTCCAGCCCTCCCACCTTGACAGAAAACAGCAGGCAGGTAAAAGCCCAGATGATGACAGATTCTTGGACTCAAAGCCTGTGGAAAAGTCCCAAGAGTGCAGAGGGGGCAGGTCTGACTGCCTGCAAGTCTGAGTATTTTCCAAGCATTTTCGAAGGAGACCTGATGCTGAAGCAGAACTTGAGGTGTTGCCTCCTACACCTGATGGCACAGAGCCACCAGCTGTGTCGGGCTGGTCGGGCTGCCCATGACATGAGGGTCTGGGAGCATGAAGCTGTGACACGCAGTTGTGCAAGGGAGGTTGATTTACTTTGCCTCTCAGCCAGGCTCCTTGTGCTGAAACTGCCTCTCTCCAGGCTGTGGTCTCCCATGCACTCTCCAAGACATGGGTGCCCTTTACTCCACGTGCTACCTGCCTCGTCCCAGTTCTCCTGAGCTCCTGGAGGCATCTTGGCCTCAGCTTTGAGGAGCTCCTCTGTGCAAGAAATCGCTGTGTGCATTAAGTTGTGGTTGTGGGGTGCTCCTGGCCTCCTTCTGCTCCTCGGCTTCCCCAGCGAGATCCCAGGCATAGGACAGGGCTAGCTCTGCCGTGCCGCATAGGACGTTGGGAAGCAAGTAGGTAGACATGGATAATGGGATGTTTTGAGCGTTTTCTTTGGTTTGATCTTCATTTAGTATTCTCCAATGCCTGGCAGGGAATTTTATATCCACAATTGTTATGCCGTGCCTGTGAATGCAGACTACTAAATCTATGCTGTTCTGTTACGTCTCTGCATTGTCAAACACTTGGAAATCTGCAAATCTGAAAGTAAACAATGTCTGGCTCTCTACCTCAAGTGAGGATTCTGTGATACGATGTGAGAAAAGTGATTCTCGTGTTACTTGCAATCCAATCGCAAGAAGGACATACTAGACAGTTACAGAGAGAACTAGTTACTACATTTCTAGCTCAGCTTTTCTAATTTAAAGGACTGGATAGGTAGCCTGTATGAACCACCGCTGGACACATCCAGTCCAATGCCCTGCTCAGTGCAGAGGTGCTCAGGGACTTGTCCAGTCAAGTTATTAATATCTCCAAGGATGGAGATCACACAACACCGCCGGGAAAGCTGGGGGCAGTTTCATTTAAGACAACGAAGTTAGACTGACAACCCTATTGCTGGAGAGGCCCCCAGTTCAGGCTGGGCAGTGAAATACACGGCTCTCATCATATGTCTGCGGTTGGGGTGCATGTCCCTGTCACACTGAGCTCGGAAGCCGGGACTGGGAAACTTTGATAAGATGTGGCAATCTGTGTGAGAGAGTGGTCAGCGCGTCAATTTACAGCTCTTTTGGAAGGTGTAACAGGTTTGGACCGAGGGCTGGAGGAGGAGTTTTGTGTCTGCGTTGGCCTGGTATTGATTCCTGCAGACTGAATTTCATTCCAGAAATGGGTCTGCTGGGAACCGCAGCCGACCGTCGCTGCTCCCCCCGCACCAGCCAAGCTCCTCCCCGGCTTATAAATACCTGAACCTTCAGTGGGAAACCATGAGATTCCCCCATCATTTCTTGGGCTCAGGCTGTTACAGCTGGCGTAACGGTGATTCTGGTGATTAAAGCCTGCTTGTTATCTCACTTCTGGAGCACAGGTATAAATCAGCAGTAGCTCCGATGACACGAAAAGAATCAAAATGATCTTGTAGGAGATTGAAACAGGGCCTCTAGAACTGCTTTAACTACTGCAGCCCTTCCTCAGGGTGACAGCCTGGCTCCGTGGTCGGGTGTGAGGGGACACCGGCTGATTTACCTCTCCCCGAGGCTGTTACAGCCTGTGGCAGCTGAGAAGGGAAAGGGTAGCTGTGAAAGCATCTAAGCCACTATGGCTGTAGGGTTGACAAGGGGCTGGGCTTCTCTTAAAGGCTAGAGATAAAGTATGCACAGCGAGAGCAATGAAAAGCCATGAAAAACCTTGCGTGCTTTCCAGGGAAAGACTCGAGCAGCTCGACTGGTATCCATTTACTTCCCACTGACTCCCACCGGGGAATGGCAGCAGCACGCTGTAGATCTCAATATAAATTGCACCTACTCCTTACTGCACCTTGTAGGACAACAGCTACGTTAGACAGCAAGTCTCCTAGGTTAATCATTATTTAAACTCCAAGTGTGTTTTGCTCCCTCTGTGCTAGCTGGCGGGGAGAGGAGAGGATGGGCTCCAGAAGCTGCTCTGTGTGCGCAGCGAGGCAGGGGGCTTGGCGGGGGGATGCTGACCTTTTGAAGGTCACTGGTGTTGGCCTCAGAGGGCAAGCACCGCGCTCTGCAATATCCCCAGTAATGTCAGGGCTCAGTGAGCCAGGAACAGCTCTTTTTTTTTGTTTATTTGGCAAGGAGAAAGATAGGAAACGCAGACCTGAGTGGGTGGATGGAGAGAGACAGCTAGCACCCAGCTGGAGCATCGCAACCCCGGCCGTGCCCAGGGCTGCTCGTCCTGCTGCACGGGGCCGCTCTCGGCCGGCGGAGAGGGAGCGCCCGCCCAGGGAGCTGGGATGGTTGTGCTGATCTGGGCTTGGGGTCTCTGCTGGTCTCAGCCAGGCGCAAGAAGCCAGGTATTTTATAGACAGTGCAAACTTCCATTCAAAACGGCATTTGGATTCAGGTCACATAGCCAGCAGCATGTCAGGAAAACCTAGGAATCCTCTCGAGAGCAGAGCTTAACCTGTAAAACAACCATGGGCAGGAGAAGTATTAACTGTGCCTACGTTAAATTAAGAGGAGGCGGCATCTGGGAGAATTTCAAAGTCCATTTCAGCAAGCAAAAATCATCAATAACAGAATGTGGAGATTTATGCTGAATCTCTTGATTTATTTGAATCCAGTGGAGCACAAAGACCGATCTGATCTGTTTTAATCAAATTGCAGCATGAGTGTCACTGGATTTTGCTTCTGCCCCAGCAGAAAGCGGGGTCTGTCCTGCCACAGGCTTCACGAATGGCGAGTGCCTCCTTTCTGCACTGACGCCAAGCCGGAGGGGAAGATGGGGGAACTCTTCTCCATTTCACACTTCAGATCCAGAGGACTCTGTCTCTCAGCCGCAGGAGCTAATTATCCAGCAGAATAACCGGCCCGGTGCAACCATGCCGTGCTTTGACTAATTTTAATATCGCTTCATCTTAATATGCAGAAGTAATTTGGTCTACTGAACTGCTGCCATAAATAGAAACACAATAGGTTACGTTGTCAGCAGCCTGAACCGGGGCTCTGCTGTTACGAGCTGCGCTTTGCCACCCACCATAGTTTGGGGTTCGGTGACCTTGGGTAATGAAGTAGTTAATGCAAATGTGGCACTTGTAAGTCTAATGCAGCTTGCAGCCTTAGGTACTGTAGGGACGAAGAAAAGAAGGTGGGGAGAGGGACGTTTCCTAGCCGGCTCCTGCCTGGCTACGCGGAGGGAGCAAACAGCCACCTGCGATGGGGCGGCCGATTGCCTGGGCGTGATGCACAGCACTGCGTCAGCCGCACAGCTGTGGCCGCGGGCCGGCGGGGAGATGCCTTCTGTGCATCCGCTGCGTTCATTACAGCCTCCAGACAGGAGCTGTCTCCATCCCACCTGGATGGAGTTACGCTGGATTTTGTACTTGCTGAAGCAGAGAGGGATTCTTCTGCAGATTTGTTAAAAATCTTTTTTTTGGTTCAATGTCTGGAATCGGGGAATTTGTGCAAGAAAGATGGGCTGACTCCTTAGCTTGTACATGCCCAAAAGCCAGGCTTCTTATGCTGCTGCTTTTATCTTGCCAGTCCCTGCTCAGCAAACTTTCAGCATCTTTGCACCACCCGCAGGGGTAAGTGCTGTGCCTTGACCCCAGCGGCACAGCTGCCCTTGGTGGAGGTGCTCAGGGCACAGAGTCCGTCACCAGAGACTGAGACGGAGACACGTCTGTTGTTAGACACGGGGCTCTCGTCTCTCCCCATCGCCTTGCCCGGCCCCACAGTAATAAGGCCATTTCTATTCTCCCTGCCGCGGATGCTCCGTGCACATCGCTAGGGGTGTTCGCTATCATGCAGAGCCATACCCGGGTGGGAAGTGGCTTGTCCACAGCTCCACAAGAATATCAGTGTGACAAGTGCTCAGTGCTAGCCTGCACCTGTAACGCTCTGGCAAAGGACGAGGGAGGCTCCATCCCCCGGGGCCACCATCCCGTGTGGGGTGGGCTGCGCTCCCCGCGTGGGCTGGAGGTGGAAAACTGACCCCTCCAGAGGCGTGAGCTCAGTTTGTGCACTGATTTCTGCTTTCTCTGTGCTGTACTTACCAGGGAAGCCAGAGCTGAAAGCCTTTTATTGCTTTAGAGAGAGGAATGGGTATAACAAGGGGAGCAGCCCTCCAGAAACCCATTTAGGAAGAGATTTTGTTCCATGCTCCTACCTCAGAATTAATTTTCATTGTTTCCTCGGTGTGGTAGAGCAGAAGCTTCTGGCCAGAAGAGGTGAGATTAACGTACACCTGGAGGCAGGGGTACTGAGAGATCTTCCAGCAGTCTGGACCGCAGCTAAATGAGCAGTTGAAGGTTTCTGTGATGGATGCATTGAGAAGCGAGCACTGAGCCTCTTCTGTCCAGACACTAAGTAGGAAAAAAAGAGACGTTAGAGCATGGCAATAAGCACTAAACACAGTTCAGGCTTTCTATCGGGCATATAACAGGGGGCATCTTGTAGGAGAGGTATGTGGTACAGAGCTTTGGGCAAAGGCTGGACTTTCTCATGTCACACATCGCAGACAGAGTGTATTATTCTGTAGTACCTAAAGTTTGTGCTTTGGGCACAAAAATACCTGATTCACTTATGTCTATGTATAAATGAAAAGGGAACTGGAACTGTTGGTCTGGCAAAGGCATATTTGAAACCAAAGTGAATCAGCAGAGATATCGGAGAAGAAAACTGAGCAGCCTGCCCTGGAAAGAGCACAACGCACGCAGTGCTGCATGACAGGACACCCTGGACCAAGGCTTGATGGTTAACCACCAAGTCCAGTTCAATTTAAAGTGAAGACTGGGAGGACGACTTTGAATTATCAGGGTACGTATATTCATATGCATGAAGACACAGTAACATGCAAGTGGTACCGCATGCAGCTCCACCTGTGGAAAGGCTTTTTCTAGTGGCAGCTTGCTCAGTTTTCCATAAGTTAAGCCATCCTCCATCATTCTGGAGGATTTCAGCTATCTCCAGTTCACCAGAGACTAAAACAGGAACGATGGAGCCTGGGTGCGCACTGGCAATGTTCACTTGGGTTTCTTGCATGTATTTAAAAACTCACGGCTGTATTTTCCTTAGGGAGGAGGGCGGTGGAAAGGGCACGCTGAGGGCTCTGTGTGAGGCCCTTCGTGGGCTCGGGCGAAGGTTTCACCCCGGGGCTCCCCGTCAGCCCTGCGCAGCGCACACCCAGCGCGGCCGTCCTGCCCCTCACCATGAACGGGCTGAGTGCCTGCCCGCCCCTTGCCAAACCTACAAAAGGCTTCATGCGGTAAGTGATATCAAAGATTTCTGACTAATCCTCTTGGTATTTTACTTTGGCAGTAATTCTGCTTGTATATTCCATTTTACATTTGTATTAAATTATGCTATGTTTTCTGGGGGGACATCAAGGGAAAGGATTTTTTAATTTTTTTTTTCCCCCCTCCCAGGCAGTATTTTATTGGAGGAGTATTGCTGTCTGTAAAGGAGAATAACCCCTAAGGAGATCTGGCTGTGCAAAGAGAAGTGACAGCAAAGACTCCTGGGTTGTCTTCTCACTTTCACCTTTCCAACTGCTGTTTTATTCATGCATGGGGGTAATAAAGCAACACCTACCTACAACAGACTTGTGAAGATGGAATATTTGATACTTCATAGGTGTTTTGATATCTTCTGGCAATTTTTCACATAGTTTGTAATATAAATCATCTCTTTCCACATGAGCAATTTTGACCTTAGCAGCCTCTGCAACTGACCCTGATATTGCTGAAAGGTCTGGGAGGGCAATTTGGAAAAGCAAATGCTCTTGGATACTTAACAGGTCTTGATCTCTGTTTTCAAAATCTAAACTTCGCCTGGATTTAAGAAGGGACAAACACCTTTATTGCACAAATAAGATGTTGCAAATCAGTACAGTTCATCCTCAGGCATCGCTATCTTTGCCTTATTGTTGCAGGGCCAAGAAGGCATATTTTCCTGCAGGTACACCGATGCAGTTGAGGATGTTCATATCAGTTAACTGGAGGCACTTGTACATGCCTGAAGAAGCAGCCTGTGGTGCATAAGCCAAAACATGCCAGGTATTGGCCACTGTCTCGGGGTGGTTTTGGACATGACAGACTGATACTTTGATCCCCAATGACATATTTTTCATTCTCCTAACTCCACCGATCAGGGCAGAAAAAACATTTTTGACAGTCTTATTACAGTCTGGGCTGGATTTTAAATAGGGCTGGTGCTTGAAAACAGATTTCAAATGCTGCTAATGAATCACAGGCCAAACTTTCTGCTCCGTGGCAGAGAAGGAAGCCAGAGAAGGCCTCAGAAAAATTAAGTGCAGTGCAGTAATGATGAAAGATGATCTGTCACTTTCAGTAAATTACTATATTTCAGGAGGATTTGACTTGTTAAAATGAAAGTAATAACCTATGTGGAAAACTACTTGCTGCAAAGCAGCTTGATTTCTTTCCCAAATTAATTCCATTCTTCATTTGAAAGTGCATTGTTTCTCAAGGCTGCTAAATATTTTTGCTGCTTTCTCCTGATTTTGACTGGGCTTTGCAGCAACAGCCCCTGAGAGGCTGACAGGGTTCAGTAGACTGCCGACCAGCTGATATGGATGTTATACTGGTGTTAAACTGTGGCAAGTCTAAAGCCCATGGATCAAGATTTTGTCAAACAGGGACCTAATTCTTCCCTCGCTTATGCCGCTATTACTCAACTTGCTTTCACTGTAGTTAAGCCTAATCTATACTGGGGTAAGGAAGTGGAGAATTGGGTCTATGTTGACCAAAGGAAGTTCAGCAGACTGCCGACCAGCTGATATGGATGTTATACTGGTGTTAAACTGTGGCAAGTCTAAAGCCCATGGATCAAGATTTTGTCAAACAGGGACCTAATTCTTCCCTCGCTTATGCCGCTATTACTCAACTTGCTTTCACTGTAGTTAAGCCTAATCTATACTGGGGTAAGGAAGTGGAGAATTGGGTCTATGTTGACCAAAGGAAAAGTTATAAAACTTGAATAAAAAGAGTCAAAAGAATAAGCCACGAGAAGTCAGCTGGAGCAGAGAGTGTGAGATCAGGGTAACCATCATGAAATTACCTTTGCATGTAAGACCGCAGCAGGGTGATTCCCAGGAGAAAGTACATCATGATAGAGCACACCATCATGGCCAGCCCGAGGAGTATGGCCCGGTCTTCTCCAGCTTTTAGGGCTGTGACTGTTTTCCTTTTGTCCAGTAGATCGTGATCCCTGATTTTTTGGTAAATATTTCTGAGGTTGAAAATAATACATTCTTATGTGAAGTTCGTATTTAATCAATGAACCCTCTACAGGGTGGGTAGTTCCACCTCCATACCCATCTTGTGAGAGAGAAAGGCTCAAGGGTCCTCAGGTGTCCTTTTTCATCGGATTCACTCTGACCTGGTGGAAACTTACTCATCTCCAAAATAAATTACAGCAATTTCTGAAAAGGTAAAAACCTTGTATAGCAAATATAAAGATTAGACACTTGTGCCAGCTCAGTAAATCCTTCTTTGGTACAGCCTCATTGGCTCAGGTGAATTATATCACAGGTGAATTTGACCTGTCAATGCCACTAGAAGATATTTAGCTACATGAGGTGTCTTTTCTTCAGTTGAATATGGTAACAGGTCTTATGTTACCATACGTAGAAAATAGCCTGAAGAAAGTCGTCACTGAAATTATCTGAAAGGACCACATTCTTTTTTGATTCCCTACAGGCTAGTGGTTTGGGTAATTTTCTGCCCTGAGTGTGACTCAAAGCTCATGAAACACTATGGGGATTTTGCAATTGATTTCTGTGGGTTTTTTGATTGGGAGCTTATTTACTTTATTTATAAAATAGCTTTCTGGAAGCCCAGTTACTCATTACAGTGAAAACCCTCACAGAAAATTATCCACCAAAGCTATTTGTTCTGGGATTAAAAAAATAAAAGATACAACAAACCATTCCCCCTTCAGCATAGAAACCCTTGCATTTTCTAACCATAAGTCCTTCTTTCATCTCCGAGCCTTTGATGATTCAATGGGTCATGAGGACACAATAGTGAAGAAGGAAATATTTGAGTACATTTCAAACACACTCAAACTTTGTGGGTTTAAAATGTACTTACAGACCTGAGGCTGGTCAAAATCTCCTGTGTTTTCTGTTACGGTTCTTTTGAATCATCCAGGCAGCACCCGAAGCATGTGAACCGCACGCCTCTGAGCCCTGGCACCACCATAACATGGACATAGTAGTATACACGTGGAAGAAGTTCCTCTTCTACTGTCTGCAAAATGGCAGGTGAGCAACATCAACATCATTTTGGCCTCTAGCAAACCCACCACTCATTTAAGCTGAAACCACCAAGTTTCACTCCACCTTGGAAAAAAGCAGTGTGTCAGACCAACCATGTAACTTACGTTCACCAACAGGGACAAAGAAAGAGAGATGCAAAATCAAACATAAACACAGTAGAAACAAGAAAATAGGTTTAATCGTAAACCCCCTGAAACTGGAATTGAACTTGTATTTAGATGATGAGTCATAGCCAGGAGAAGCACATATGGTGTGGGGTTTTACAGCAAAAATTTTGCTTAGATGGTGCTGCAGTCAATAGTCTCCCGTACCTAAGACCCCTCGAGGTTTCTTCATCCAACTGTAATTTACATCTTTAGATGACCATGGTTTCTCTTCAAAACCATCCTTTAAAGCTTGTCAGTGTTTCCCTAGTTCGAAATGAAATGGTAATTCAGCCTGTCAAATTTGTCTCTGGTGTTGGGGAGAAAAAATATATTGTGAACTGGCAGATGCAATTGCCTTCAAAGAAGTAATGTAGAGTAATAATCTAATATTACTTTTCTATTATTATTTATCAAACTGTATTTAACTCTGAGAGCTGCTATTAGGATTTGCATTGCTCCCAAATGGAAGCAGGCAGGAAGGCAGAGATTGTCATGCAGTTCCAGCACATTAACCGATCACACAGCATAACTTATGTCAGCGCGTAGACATAAAACAGAGACAGTGCAATCGCTCACTAATGTCACCAGAGCAGCTAGGACATAAAAGGGATACAAATGGACAATTTAAAAACAAATAGCTAATTGAGAATGGTTACAAATACTTCCCATGTGGCCTTGAGCCAAGAAATGTGTGACGAGAGGTAAAAAAGGCTGGACAAACGTGTGTGTTGTAGAAATGGTCTGTCTGGTGACTGGCAAAGGGGATGGTGTGTGGTGACCGCTGCCGGGCAGATCTCCCGCACTCGCCTGCCGTGGTAAATAAAACTAAATAAAGCTCTGCCTTGGGGTCAGGCTCAGAGCAGTCCTTCAGTTGCTCTTTTGCAAATATTTGTTATTCAAAGCCCCAAACTACAGGAAAGTGGTAGCCTGGTGCACCTTACTGAGGGCTTTTTTCTCCTGAATCCCTGCCCGGAGTCAGCCTGGTGTCAGGCGCCAAGGCGCGTGGCACGTGCCCGCGCCTGATGCACCGGTCCTGACGCAGCCCAGGGGATGCGCTCAGTAACCCTTCCTCCTCCTCCTCCTCCTCCCCGCTCGCGCCTGTGCTGGGGAGGTGCCAGTTTGCTCTGTATGGTACTGGGAACATCTGCTATTACCAGACTTCACTTTTTTTTCCCCCAAGTGGCACGTGCCCCCGCCTGCACCGGTCCTGACGCAGCCCAGGGGATGCGCTCAGTAACCCTTCCTCCTCCTCCTCCTCCTCCTCCCCGCTCGCGCCTGTGCTGGGGAGGTGCCAGTTTGCTCTGTATGGTACTGGGAACATCTGCTATTACCAGACTTCACTTTTTTTTCCCCCAAGAGCCCTGGTTTTGGGGGACGTGATACGTTGTGCAGAATATTTTGCCACTAACAGAGCAGCCTCGGCATCTCCTCAGCTGGAGCGGCAGCGGTGGCCTGCACCCATGTGTGTGCTGCTCCGTCGGGGGGATTTTGTGTACATGTGAACTTTTGGCAGAGCCCAGGGACCTCCGTCTGCTCGGTGAGCTGGAAGAGCACCGTGCTTAGCTTAGCTTAGATTTTGGGTCCCAGGGCTGCACAGCCACAATTAGCTGACTGCTGCAGTGTGTTTAAGTACAGATCACTGCATGCCAGACACTACTCATCTAGGTGACTCCATCTAATACTTACGATTACCTGCGATAACTCCCCAAATATGACACTGAGGGGGGGTGTTTGTTTTTAAAGAAGTCCCAGCTGTCAGAACATGGGGTCTCTCTGCCCTGTGCAAAGATATTTAATAGAAAGCAAGCCTCCAAGGACAAAAGGTCTTTGCTCTCCTGGTTGTTTCCAAACTGAAGTTCTCCCCTGCTAAATCTCCATGTTCCTTTTGCCAAATTGCTCAGAGGATACGGGCTGGCTGCCCTACCTGGGCTCAGCTGCCAGAGAGGGAATTTCGGCTGTGACCGCGCCTGCTGGGGACAGAGCAGAGATTTCCCTCTCCATATCCCTGCACAGCAGCAGTGAGGGGATCCCTATGCAATGTGGTCAGCAGCTCCTTATGGCATCTCCAGAGGAAGGCTTAGGGAGGACCTGCATGATGAAATTAGGCACCCCAGGTTACGTTACTTAGCCTGAACGCGACACAGTCAAGGGGAATTACAGTGCTGGTTTAAGCCTACTGGCCTCTAATAAAAAATTCTTCGTCTTCTGTAGAGTTACTCATATTTGCTGCAGCCAAGACCTTTCTTTGCCAGCATGAGGGACACGGCCTTTTAGCACTCAGTTATGTGAAGGACGAGCATGCTGCATGCATCCTCTGTGCTCTGCTGGTGCAGGACTGCTCCACAGCTCTGGGGATACGATGAATTTATTGGCATGTGTTAGGAATGGTCCAGTATGCAAAGGGCTTGCAACTGGGCAGTGCCACGTAGAGCAGAAGAAGCTAAAGTAATGCTGCTTCTGACCCAGTACAACAGTTCTTGTTCTTACTCCAAAATGGGTAGATCTGAGAGCACTGCAAAGGGGTCTAGTATCCTCCTGGAAATCCAGAACAACCAGGCACCTGCAATTACTTTATTTTTTTTTAAATATACAGCAATTACCTACCCTCAAATTCCCGCCCTTGCAAATGGACCATGGTGTGGCAGAGGGAGACGCTGCATCCCTCGGCACAGGGCGGTCCTGGGGCTTGTCGGGGATACCTGCCTGCCTGCACTAGTCAGAGTGACTTTAAGAATTCTTATTCTGTTCTCTGATACCACAGTTCTTATGCAGATGTCACTAAAATTACCTCACATTGAGGTGTTTACTGATATCAGAAATCCTTGAATGCAAGGGTCAAAGAACCCTTGTGTATCTTGCCTGCAGAATTCTCAATGCTCAGGGACTTTTCTGCTCAGAAGCCAATTTCCTTACTTTTTTTCTTTACAGGGTATATTTAGCTGCATCAGTTTTTGTTATTAGAGCTGTGGCAAGAGGAAACCTCTCTGGAGCTCTCACAAAAGTCTCAGTGATGGTTGTAGAAGGATTCCTAACGATACGAACAGATCTCGTTCACTCAATTCCTGCCCTCTTCCCCACCAAACTGGACTGAACTGAACCAAACCAGTGCTTTGGTTTTCCAAGCTTACAACGTTGTGGAAAACATCATTGACAGCTGAGAAAGAATGAGGGTTTGGCTAAATTTCCAAAGGCTAAAAAGTGGCAGTTGGGGAACAGCAGGTGTCTAAACCAGCAATGAAATACAGAAATTTTGGGCTCAATCCTGCAAAAGCAGGCGCCTGAGAGACACCTTCCACTCACCCACAGCAAGTGACCCCTTGCTGCACAGGGTATGATTACGGTGAGACCCCTCCAAAGTCGGCAGTCGTGGCATGTGCTAGGTGACAAGTTTGCTGTCCCAGCTGACAATCTTCCTGTCTGAACTTTAAAGAACAAAAATTCCTAGGAACGGGTCATTTAGGGGAAGTAATTTCTCTAAAATGCACCACCTGCTTGATATAGCGATGCTGCTGGTGACCTTACATGTGTTAAAATCACTGCCAGACGCTGGCGGATGAGTTTCTCCCACCAGCAACACTTGGTCTGTGTTCACACCTCTCTTTGCAGTCCTGAGGCTGTGGTCAGCACTCTCCTGTTCCTATTTTCTCTTCCTCCCTTTCCCTCCTGCATTTTATCAATCACTCACAGGGTATGAACGGTTCCTTCTGTTCGGCTCTACAGGACCACCTGGGAAATAAACCCACCCGAAAGGCTGAAAAGGCACCTGCAATTACCACGGCTGGTGTGTAAGTACAGAGACACTGCTCCCTACCTCCCTGTCTCTGCCGGCAGACAGGGGCGAGCTCTGCCCAGGGTTTAAGCTGACCAGATGCTGGTGAGCCCTGTTTAGCACAGCGCTCAGCCCAAGTTAATAAGTCCCACTGAAAGGCATGGTGTGAGCTGAAGGCCATGCTGATCAGAAGCACATGGCTTCCAGCCAGCCCAATGTGTGGGCAGATATCTCCTACAAGTGTCTAACCTTGGACCATCCTGTCCATGACAGTGTTTTAATGCAGAAGAACATTAGCCTGGGGAAAATTCAATTAAAGAGGAGGCTTGCAGAAGTACATGAGGCAGATTGATAACCGGCTCCAACTGAAAGTCCATGGAAACCTGCTGCCAAGCTGGTCTTTGTAGCTTCAAAATATCTCCTTGGGATCGGATTATCAAAAGAGCTGAACACCTACGCAGCCTTTGCAGAAAAGTTCAGCAAATGGACCAATTCTCCAAAGAGACTCGGCGTCCTGAGGGCAGCTCTGCTGCCTGAACTCACCAGCGCTTTTTCCCAGGCAGATGCCAGCGGTAATGTCTCATTAGAATAACTGAAGAGTGTGTTTTGCTAATTGGCACTGTAGATACGTTGACCTCTGTTTTTGTTTCACTGGAGTCTGATTTTTTGTAATTACATTTAATAGTGACTGCAAGGGGAACTGAAGGAGAGGAGGGAAGAGAGGGAAGGGGGAAAGAAAAGAAAGGAAAGAGAAATGTGTCTGCTTGCAACAAGGCAAGCTGTCCAGCAAATCTCACTACAAAGGAGGTAGACTTTGGAAGGATGAGTCTGAGCATTACTGACAGTTGTTCTTTCATCAGTGATATTTAACTTTGTTCATTCCCAACTGAGTGCTGCCTTTGTCTGTGGACTTAAAACCTCGCCTTCCCTTTCCTTCTCTTCTGTGTAATTCCCTGCTCCCCTGGGACATCCAGTAACTAACTCATTTATTCCTCTGTCTCCTTCAGCCTATTCCCTCCAGCACCACCACTAAAGTGGGCTGATGGGCTACCAGTAATCATCTCACTTTCATCCCCCAGCCACTGTGCAAAGTATTGCGCACACACTCATCCTCGCACACACACACGCATATAAACAGAAAACATCTCTGACAGCTGGATGCACCATCCAGATGTGTAAAAGTTATACAGGGCAATGACTGGGCTGGGGGAGAGGAGGCACTGTGCCTGCACTGTCTGGAGGGGGCTGCGGGAGTGGTGCGGGCCGATGGCTGGAAGCGGGACACCTGCAGAAGGCACAAAGGCTTCACAGGGGTTGGAGCTGGGGCTGCTAACCTGCAGCTGGGTATTAGTGGGCTTTTAAACGTGCAGTGTCTGCGTGCTGACCTCGGAGATGGTCACAGTGTGCTGCTGATGGCCTGGGGACAAGGAAGACTTTGGCCATGGCTCTGGCATTGTCCCTCCTCTCTGTTCTGGCTTGGCACGTTAACCCTGGCACTCCTCGGCTGGTCCTGTTGCTGGAGGAGCGGTAGCCAGGGGGTGAGAGGCAAGGGGGGACACCCTTTGCATCCCTCCTTCTTCTCCAGTGCCACCACTGAAGAGAAGCTACAGGCCACGCTCCTAAAGATTCAAAACCCGTAGGAGACAATCAGCATAGATGCCATTTACCTTTTCTCATCATGTCTGTAAGATGTAGAGCTCCGGCCACTGGTCCAAATAAACATTTTAGAGGGTTGCCCAGTGTTGGCTTTGCTTGCTGCAGTGGGACGATGGAAAGACCTGGGGGAAGAGGGATAATTTTTGTCACTGCCCGTCCAACGCGGCAGACCACGTTATATCCAGCGTGCCAGATCCCCTGTGGCTGTGCTCAGGGTGCTCTGAAGATGGACCGTTTGTCAACTCAAGGTGAGATGTAAAATAATGGGGATGACAGATCAGCGTGTGGGAATGAAGGGTAAATCTCATTAGCCCCACTGGCAAAATGTGATCCTGGCTAATCAGGCTTAGCTATGCTCCACACCGCAATGCACCGTGGGGAAGAAATCATCGGTAGTTTAAGAAAAGGTAATAGCTGCAGCCAATGTTCTTATGGCAGTATTTTGGGGGTAGAAAGTGGCTGTTGTTTAAGCACACGTGTTCATTACAGCTTATTGGTTGTATGGCAGCTCTCGGTGCGATGAGGCTCTCAGGGAACATGTCTGAATGAGGCACAAGTATGAGACATAAATGCAGCGTTTTGTGGAAATGTAACTGATGTGACAAAGATGTCTTTTCCCACAGAGACATTACTGTCCCAAAGCCATTTGGCCAGGCCAGGTAGATTCCTGCCCAGGGGGCTTCTTTGTTTCACAGCAGGGTATGAGACCTGCTGCCTTCTCTCAGGCTCTCGGGGTCTTCCGAAGAGGGCAAAAGTCTGAGGGGCTTCATTTTAAGGACTGAATTTGAACCCTGTCCTTCAATTAGATCTCATAGAATCAGAAATACAGAGTTGAAAGGATCTCAGGAAGTGTTGCTGCTCTCTTGCCCTGATTCAAGGCACATTCACAATATCTATGTTATTCATAGCAGATTTTGATTACCCTGGATCAACTGAATATGAACAACCGTCTTTCCAGATGGTAACTTCATTGCCAGGCTGGAAGCATAGGCTGTATTGGACCTGCTAGTGAGACCTCAGCTCCCCTCGTAGCTCCTCCTAATCTACTCCTGGTTTTAGTGAGGCTTAGTTAAAATCTCGATCTCTGAGAATTGGGCCCTTCTTGGTGAGGGCTGTATTTCACATAATTTCAAGGCACAGCACTTTATGCTTTTACTGTATTCAGAGAAAGGCTTAAGAAAAAACCCAAATATTCCAGAAACCAAATACTTTAATGCCAAAGTTTTTCATACACTGGGGGCCATTCTTTAGCTCACTGGAAAATAAACCTGGCTGTTGATGCTGTCAGCAGAGAAGGCACGTGAATTCCTCAGTGCTCCTTGCCTGAAAAAGTCTGTAATGTCACTATCTACATAATCATGCAAAGGGCTAATTTCAATAGTTGCATAGTGGTGAACCTGAGAGAATACTTAAATCCTATAGCAGTGGCTGCAGGGGAAGACTGACGTGGACGGGAGCCAAAATCCATCCGTCCGCAGACAGGCTGATGGGTGCCAAGGGACCGGGCTCTCCATCTGGAGTCAGCCCAGAGCCCCACCACAGGGTCCATGGTGCAGACGCAGGCCAAACTCACAAACTGGGCAAACTGGCCAAACTGGTGACCCCGTCACCTCCTCCCTGCTGGGATCCCGCTGCTCCCTGTTGCTGCGATGCTCAGAGATGCTGGCCCAGGTCTGGGGCTTGCAGGCAGGGACCTTGCTTGAAATAACAGACAGTAGTATCTGACAAACCTTTTGTGCTGCATTCACGCACAGCAAATTGGACAAGAAGGCGGCCCAAAAGAAGGGAGGCAGAAGGAGGGGAATCTCCTCCAGCCCTTTCGCTGACTCTGCCATCAGCACTGCAGCTCTGAGAGCCAAAAAAGAGTCTTCTCTTTCCTTATCACCATTGTAGTTAAGTATTGGGGACTAAGCAATAAGAAGAGGCACTTCCTCCCTGAAATAACTATAGTTTAGAAGGTGAAATAGCATCTACCACGATTTAATCAATATAGCCACTACTATGAAGTGTTTTTATAGTGATCATGGCCAGAAATTTGGGCTGCAGGGCCCTGGGTCTAATCCTCACTCTGGGATGTAAGATTGTACCTACGCTACCCCAGACAGCACAACAGCGACTGCCAAGCCTGCGCCGAACGCGCTGGTGTTTCTGCATCGAGCAATGCAGGAGGGCTCAAGGGCCTGGAGGCCACATTGGATATTGGACTGAGACCTGCCCCAGGCTGAGTCCCTTAATGCTGCAAAATTAAATATTTTAGAGAGAGAGAGAGAGAGATATTTTCCACTGCACCTTTTAGGATGTCACGGGTGAGTTGCATGGCAGGAAAGCCTGGCTGGCTGTGTTGCCACAGCCTGAGTGGTCCCAGAGCCGTCAGGAGACGGCAGTGAATGCTATTAGAGAGTCTGTTCTTAATTAAGCAAAACTTGGGCACACATTAGAGGTGATCAGCAGCTTCTGCTGCCTGTCTGAGTCAAGTGGGACACCTGGGCAGGACTGCCTGGGCAGGGAAGCACGTTCACGAGCTCCAGAGCAAACTGCAGGAGCACCACCAGTGCGAAAGCTGGGAGAGGGGGCTCTGCCCCAGCGAGGGATGCCAGGGGAGGAAAAGGGGTGTCTTTCTTCCCCCAAAGTCAGAGTGATTCCAGGCTCCCTTATAGTGCCAGTGCCCTGGAGCAGTCCATATGCGATGGCATTAATGCTGCCTGCTTCATTAGCTGGGCAATCCAAGCTAACCAGCACTATTTAACACACAATTACCTAATTGCCTAATTTTGTGTAAAATTGTTACACTGATGATGTCACAACAGAGGTCAGCTGTAAGCGACTAAAGTCCATGCTTCCTTTAGGCGGGGGTTGGCTGTAAGGTAAGAGCCTTTTGCAGGACAGTAACAACACAAACTCCCCAAGACCATCCTTTGAAGGCCTTTGGAGGACTTGTAACTTAGAACGGTTACAACCCACACGACCACGTCCTGCTCACCAGGACAGTTAGCAAACTTCCATGCCTTTCTCCTCCCCTGAGTTAATCCCGAGGCAGGACTGTGAACCCCCTTCCTTCCCTGTCCCCTCTCTCTTTTCTGAGAAAACAAGCAGCACTGATTTTTTTTTTTTTCCCGTTGCCTTTCTGAGTCAGCTGCTGGCAGTGTATTTTTATCATGCAACAAGTAATCAGCCTGTGAAACTCATTACTGCGGGATGTCAGCCTGGCATTTAGAGTAAAAGTGGATTGCGCTATTGCTTGAACAGACGGAGCACCTAAAGTCATGACAATACCTGTTAAAAAAACAGTTTAGAAGAGGTGCTTCAAGCTGCTTTTTGACTATCAGGAATCCGTAGGGGATATTCCTGTAGGGCAGGTTACCAGCAAACTGCTGTACTTGATGTGACGTTTGCTGTGCACTCTTAGAGTCAGGATGCTGGCTGGGACCCTGGGCTTTCTGCTGGACTTTGCCTGAACATTGCTGCCTCCTTCGTTATTTGCCCAGCGTGGCATCAACACAGTTGTCTCTCGGCACGGTTGCCACAGAGACAGGCAAGGAGGCCATGCTTTGGTTTTTACAAAACACGCCTTGTTCTTGGCATTTGGGTCTATTCTGAATAAATGCACAATGTTTAAGAGAGAAGCGCAGAGTAAAAAGTGTACAATCTGATGTGAATACATGAACACCCATGCCCAGGGCACTTCACTGCTCTGCACTGGCTGAGGAGCAGCTCTAAGGGCTCGTGGTGCTGATGCCGTGGGTCTCCCCAGGGCTGCCCCACTCCTCCCATCCTCCCCCATTCTCATCCTTCTCCTGAACATTATCTTCTGGTGAATTTTATGGACCTCACTGGAAAACATGACAAGGTTTCCACTTTTTCAGCCATCGCAAGATGAAGACTTGAGGTAGTTCTTATAAGATTAGAACTACTCTGCCCCGTCCTAAGGAGTGTCAACAAGTCCACCCAACAGCAACCACCTGAGAGAGGACTCAGCGTGAAGAAAACATGCTGAGGCAGCATTCGCTTCAAATTGTTCCAAAAAAGATGCAATTCTGAGGGTGAATCTCAAAATCCTTAACTGGTACCTTCATAACTACATTATGTGCTCTGTGGTTCTCACTTTTATCCAGGGCTGGCTGCTCTCCTTCCTCAGGCTTCAGTTTATGTCACGATTTATATGAAATGTCCCTTATCTCTAGGTCACCACATCTGTGAACAGCCAAAGAGGGATATTGTGGACCACGTTTTTAGATGGAAAGCTGGGTTTTATATGTGTGTTTATTTGTAATTGCCTCTGTCTACGTTTATGTTAATCATAGGGTTTCTGAGACCTTGGAGAATCGTTTACGGCACCAAACTAATGAGCTTTGCTCCCCTTATGGCATTTCATTTCCTGGGCAATGTGGCCACTGTAAAAAGAGAAGCACTTACATTAATTTTGCCTCATAAAAGACACCCTGAGTCATCAAAAGCCAACAAAAGCTAAACATTCACCTAAAGATATAATCACTGACCTCTTAAGCTTTGTCTGAATACACCCACGTCCCGCACTGCCCATGCTGCCAAGCGCTCTGGGTGCTTCATCCCAACATTTTCCAGCCAGAGGATTCATTTGAACCCTGAGGCAGTTCCCTGTGAGCCCTGAAGTTTTCCTACTAGTCCACCTTTTAACCTCTCTCCGTGCTACAACACAGCGGTCAGTGCCAGCTCCTGAACAGACAGGGCGGCTGCTGTTGAGTGATGGGAGATATTTGGCCTCTCTCATGGCTGGAGAGACTTTTTTTGGGGTGGTCCCAGCCACCAACACCCACGGGAAAAGGAAGAGGCTGAAACCAGGCATCAAAGGCAGCCTGGAAGGGGATGGTGCTTCACTTTGAGGTGAATTTATTGCATACGGACAGTTAGACTTCATGGCCTGATAGGTCTTACCCATGCCTATGTCTGATGATGGTATGTTTTCCTATGGCTTTGCTGAGCCAGAAAACAGGGAGAAGTATTGTGTGATGAAGGATGGGAGATAAATAAAATGGCCTGTTGAATTTCTGACGTAAAGTGTAGCCAGACTGCCATGCAGTCTGGCATTCAGGTGCCTTAGTGCGTGGAAGAGTTTCCCAGGCAGAGTGGGGGAGGGAACTACTAA